GTGTGCAGATCCTGCACCATTGCCTCGAACCTGCCCACTACGCCATACACCCCAAACTATCATCAATCAACCGCATTACTTCGGACCTGGATCTTGCAACATAAATCGCGAAAGAGCTCCTACAGGCAGCTTCGCCGACAGGACCTCATCCGGGATAGTCACTGGGAATCTATCAAAAGACCATCAAACTATCGCCGACTTGCACTCGTCCAGTCTACTCTGGATTCCACGTCAGGTCCGGCATCATAAATTTGATTTTAGCAGCCGTACGGTAATTGTCATAGCTAGACGGAGGCGGCTTGGATTGGAGCCCAGCCCAGTCGACTTGGTTCAACATGCTCAAATTCGGGTCATCCCCGTCCCACTGCAGAATCACCATCACTACTATGATAGAGGTAAGACGCTCACGTATGCATCCATGGTGATGGGAGCCTTCGGCGGGACTTCTTCCTCCAGAGGCGCCACCGCTTCAATCGAGTGATCCGGCTGAGAGCCACAATACGGCGCTTTCACCACCGCATATTACCTCTTCCTGTTGTCTGTGACCAACACCTTCCTTCAAGGCGAGTCCCCCACTACTATACAAGATCGCCAGTAGTATGCTCAGGCTTCCCCATCTACTCATTAGAGACTATTGACTAAGTATTTGCTGGGAAAAAACCATATAACGATTGAGCAACACAAATCCCATGTAACGTGAGATCCTCTTCGTTGGAGCGATCATTATAATTTTGAAGCAGAGCCAGGGACGTCCTACACATGCTAGGTGTCCCGGCATAAGAAGGTCATTCGAGCAGACGGTGACAGTTATGGCCACACACATACGATGAAACAACACTGTGGCAGCCTGGGGTCCTTTCATATCTGTCTACTCCCCGTAAACAGCGACCAGGAGTTAGATAATGCATCTACCACAGGGCTAGAGAGGCTTGCCCCGTTCAGATGCGAGGACCCAAGCACGTAATACTTCTAGTGCGCCTTAATGACAAAAACAGTAATAAGAATAATTCAATCCAGATGACGATGATGATGATGGACTATGGCGATAACAACAAAGACAACGGCGAGAATACTATAAGGGTAAGCCGTGTTTCTGATAATGAGACGTCCAGTTAGAAGGATGAAGATCAGAGTGTGCAAGGTCAAAAACGAGATGCAGTAGAATCAGACAGTAGTCTTGTACGTCAAGCAGTTCCACAAGCCGGGGAGCGGTCAATCGAATCAGCCGTAGAGTCTGCCAAGGCCTCGGCCGAGGTGGCTTCCTTACAACCGATACCCCCACTGAGGCCTTTACTTCTATTATCATCTGTTCAAAGAACAAAGTGTGGGAGAAATCCCCATATTTCCTACGTTGTTGCATGTCCATGATGTGAGTCTGTTCAAACTCCCCCTCGCGCCCCTCCCTTTTGAGCAGACGACTTTCGATAAGCTTCGTGGCCTCATCAATCTCCTCGGCTCTCCCACACATCTCGATACACGGTGTACACTCCCCGACATCATTAGTATCGGAACAACGAGCATAGTGCAGTGCCGTGTCTTCAGCCAAAGTCAACAGGTTGCTAAACCGCGGCCCCACCACCGAACGTACGGTCTTGGGGTTGATCGGATACCTTAGGACATGTTCGCTTACTCTCCATGGTAACACTCACTTCGTTATGAAAAACTCAAGTCGTTTACGAGCCAATGCTACTACTGGCTCCGACGGTCCCTCGATGATCACCAGAGACGATGCTGGTGTTTCGTCAGACACTCCCCGTACTCGGACCTGTCTTAGTGTCATGGGAGGTCGCAGGTTCGATCCCGGCACCCCTCACTTTAACATCAAATTCCTTTTCAACATTCCTCACATTAGCGCCTCCT